TTGGAAGGAATAAATATATCTAGGTTATATTTTCATTTTTTTGAAATCACGTGAACACATATTAATTTTATAATCATCTTGAAGCTGAAGTTAACTATACTCACTGATGGGGAAATAGTTTTTTCTTGGTAGGGATTGCAGTTGGAACCTGAAATCCCCTTCCTCCTGGAAATGCGCCCATGGGTCCTTGAGAGGCAAACTGGTGCAGCAGAATATCCCTGGCTTTGGCATCACATCTACCTGGGTTCCCAAGCACAGTGGCTCCCTGACCTCAGTTTCTTCCTCTGTGAAATGGGGACACCCACACCACTTCACAGGAGTTTTCTAAAAATTCAATGAGAAGACGACCCTAGCTGGTTGTAGGGGTTCTACATAAGATAATGCCACCCTCCCTAACTCAGGTGACAAACCCTACAGGGTCTGTTTTCCAAAATTAGGGTTCCCACTGAATTCACACCTTGATAAGTGCCTAAATTCAAGTTGAATTTGCTCAACCAGCTGCTTCCAGAGCCAAGGGAGCTGATTGCTGCCTTCTTGCGGGATGGTGGTTCCCTGCCTGGTGGGATGGGGATCATGGTACGTTCCTCAGATGACTGAGGGGGCCTCTAACCCCACCCCCACCGTACCCCTGCCGTCGTTACAACAAAAAGAGCCACCGCCGAGTGGGGACCTGGGCGGAGGCCTCTACTGGGTCGCACTGCCGGGGAAGCGGCGCCGAAGGGAGGGCGGGCCACTGAGCGCCTTCCCCGCTTGTGGCCCGGGAGCTTCGACGCCCACCCGCAACCGCTGGCCGCGGGGAAAGGTCCGGGCTCGCGTTCTGAGGCTGGCGGGGTGCAGAGGAAATAGAGCTGCGGACTGGGGCTGATTCAGCTTCCGTCTCCAGAGCGGGGGCAGCCCCCCTCTCTGCTCCAGAGCTGGTAGGCACACCCCTCCCGGAGGTAAAGGTGGGAGCGAGTGCAAACCTTTCAGTCTAAAGAAAGAAATCGCCAGCTCAAGGGGCCCTCCAGTCAAAGTCGCACTTGAATTCCGCCTTTTTATCTTTATCCGTGCCTGGAGGGGAAAAGTAGATAGTAGGCCGGACCTGAAAGCCCCACACCATCTTGATTTTCTACTTGCTTAGAGACTGTTCTAAATTCTAGTTGGGATCTAGAGTAAAAGGTTTCACTTTTTTTTTTTCCCATCGCAAAAGGCTTAATGTCACAGATTTTGGGGGACAGGGGATGCATTTTGCTCTAATTTAGGAATAATTTAAAATACAGAAAAGTACCTGTAATTACCATTTTAAAGTTGTTTTTTTTTTTAAGATTATTTATTTATTTATTTGACAGAGAGAGACACACAGAGAGAGGGACCACAAGCAGGGGGAGTGGGAGAGGGAGAAGCAGGCTTCCCGCTGAGCAGGGAGCCTCGATCCCAGGACCCTGAGATCATGACCCGAGCCAAAGGCAGACCCTTAAGGACTGAGCCACCCAGGCGCCCCCCTGTAATTACCATTTTAGTTATGCCTTTCCTCAGTACCTCTCACCAAGTGAGAAAATAGAATATTAGAATGTTAAATTATTTGTTGGTCAAGTGCCCAAGGGGCAAAAATTAGCCAATCAAATTAGAAACAAAACTAAAATGAAAAGTGTGACACAAAATTCCTCTTTTCAAAAATAAACTATTTTCATAAAGCAGTTTTAGGTTCATAGCAAAGTTGATCTGTAAGTCCACAGATTTCCTATATACTCCAACCACCTCCTCTCCCCCAACCCCCAATACACAGCCTTCCTCATCATCAACATCCGACCTCAGCATACTGGTACATTTGTTACTATGATGAAGCCACGTGGACACATCACTACCACTCAAAAGTCCACAGTTTACCTTAAGGTTCACTCCTGATGTTAGGGTAATTTTGACCTCATACAATGAGTTAGGAGGTATTCCCTCTGCTTCTAT